CTAGGTTGGTGCAAATGAAATTTCGTTTTTTTACAAACATTAAAGTCATCCAAAATTTTTTTTGATAACAATTTATTTAAAACAATAAGCACCATTATTATCTATGACATCCCTCCAACGTTGCTACAGATTGCGGATCCCCTTCTCAAAGAACGCCTGATTCTGTGATGCAAAGTAGTTGGTCACCCAATTTTCGACTTCTTTTGCATTCTTAAACTGGCAATTCTCAAGGGAATGTTGCATCGATCTGAAAAGGTGAAAATCGGAGGGTGCTAAGTCTGGACTATACGGCGCATGTGGTAAGACCTTCCATCCTAGCTTCTCTAGTTCCTTACGAGAGGTTTTTGCCGTGTGAGCTGGAGCATTATCACGGAGAAAGTTGATAGTTGAGGGATTTAGGCCTTTTTCACGCAAAATTTCGTCAACCTTCTTGAGTTGTTGAATAAAATAAGATGAATCGACTGTTTTTCCGGGCTCTAATAATTCAAAATGAACAAGTCCATTGATATTCCACCAGCAAGACAACATCACTTTGCGCCCATGATAATCCGGCTTTGGAGTTGGAATTGGCTTTGCTCAGCCATTGTCTTTTTCGAGAAGTATTATCAAAGTGAATCCACTTCTCATCCATCGTCAAGATATTCTCAAAAAAAATGGCTTCTTTTCGACTTCTGGAGCAAGATATGGCTGATCGGAACGCGTGCTCCCAGATTCTCAACACTCAATTGATGTGGAACCCATTGTCCATTACGATTTGTCTTTCCAATTATTTCCAAATGGCGTACAATTGTTGAATGATCACATTGGAGATGTTTGGCAAGTTCTCGTGTTGTTTGCATTGGATCAGCTTCAATTAATTGTCCCAATTCATTGTTGTCGATGGCTGTGGCACGATGTCCATGCGATTCGTCTTCAAGGGATTCATTACCATCTCGGAATTGGGCAAACCAGAGCTGGCATGATCTTTCGGTGATAACCTGTTCTCCAAAGGCGGAACAGAGATCACGATGTGAATCAGCAGCGTTTTTGCCCATTTTGAAGTCATAGAGAAGACACGTGCGCAGAACATACTTTTGATCCACCATGATCTAAAGCAAAAATCAATTAAAAAGTGAAAGCTCTGACTTTGAAAAAATGCGAAAATAAAGTAAATATCCAAGAGTACAAATGCACAAAAGAACATCAAATAAGCTCTTCAGATTAAAAAAATAAGAACATTTTATATCGACCGAAATTTCTTTTGCACCAACCTAATAGAAACCTAATCCTCTGAAAAAATTTTCAGTGTCACTCTTCGGCGTCTGTGCTCAAAGCACAACAGCCGGGCCAACTACTACACCGACCACAACTACTACAACGACAACTGCAACAACTGCGAGTGCCACAGCTTCAGTTTCATCAACAACAACAATTGCTACACCTACGTTTTCTTCAAGTACAACTTCAATCACCAGTACAGCATCCTCACCCCCGTCAACCACTAGGTTAAACTCGTAATCACAATCTTTCATAAGCCCAGTTTTAGTCAATCAACTCTTACTCCAACGACAAGTTGTACTGTAGAGAGAGCAATTGGATTACTTTATGATATGGCTCCGTATAATGGAGTGAACTATCGAGAGGTCAGTGAATAGCAATGAGCAAAAATTACAAGAGAGTATTTTAATTTAAGCTCGAAACTTCCGGAGAATCTAAGCTGAACTTTAAGTTGAATATTAGGTTAAGGTTAAGTTTTCAAAATAAGATCCAGTCTTACTTTGAGAGAAGTATGAACGGTTTTGCACATTCGTGACAGCAGCATTTTTGAGCGTACAGTCGCGTAGTCATTAACTGTTTTACTGATAATTTGGTGAAGATTCAGAGATCAACTAAACTATTTGTAGTGATTCGATAGCCCTAAATCTTTTGAAAACTAGTATAAAGTCACGAATAACTTTCTGCAAAATAAATAACAAAATCCTTAAAAACTTTAGCTGACACTAAAAACTAAAAGCTGACACTAAAAACTAAAAGCTGACACTAAAAACAATCGTCATTAGTACAAGCCAGCGGTGGGTTGAATCGTTGTGAGTTGAGTGTGTTCCTCGCGAGTAAAGCGTTCTTTTTAAAAACGTATATTTAGGAAAAATTATCGTACTTTTCAGCGAAAATTATTGAAAAAAAATTGGCGCAAAAATCACGAGCCACCGCCTTATATACGACTCCTTTTAAAGATATTCAGCCGTTTAAAGATATTCAGCCGTTTAAAGATATTCAGCCGTTTAAAGATATTCAGCCATTTAAAGCTATTCAGCCGTTTAAAGATATTCAGCCGTTTAAAGATATTCAGCCATTTAAAGCTATTCAGCCGTTTAAAGATATTCAGCCGTTTAAAGATATTCAGCCATTTAAAGCTATTCAGCCGCTTAAAGATATTCAGCCGTTTAACTAATTTGATGGCGAATTCCCGCATTCAAATCTAAATGTTTTCGATTTACTCGACGTGTAAAGAGGTTTACTCGTAGTTACTCGACCCAAAAAGCGTCGATTAATCGAGCAAAATGACTCATGCGAATTTTACTCGAGTAATTGCTTAAGGAAAACACTCTAGTTGTGAGCGTGCAAACGATGAACTCGATTTCAGATCAACGGCCGTTTCATGACCGACTACTTCTTGGCAAATCCAGTTTTCACTGATAGGTGTTGCAGTGTATGCAAAAAGTAATCTCTAAAAGTTCTAGAACTCAATTCGCGATGGTCCCTTTCCCGGACAGTGATTATCTAGTTGGAAATGGCTACGGAACACCATATTTCATGTAACTGGATACTGGGAATTTTCGGTGTCAACGTCAATTGGCGTGAAACGGAAAAATGGCATAGCTCGACCGTTTTCTCTCCGATCTTTTTGATTTTGATATCAATTGACGTAGAATTTAATTTTCTATCGATTGAAATCAAAAGCAAAAAATTAGAATGAAATTGGCCAAGTTATGACATTTTTCCGTTGAACACTTATTGACGTTTAGACTGAAAATTCTCAGGTCTACTGAATACCTCAAAAACTCTCTCATATTTTCCTTCAGATGGGTCCGCGCGATTTTCCCGCAATTCTTGTACTGGCAAAACGCGGAATCACCGAACTCCACCGATCACAATTTAGCGATGTGAGTCGAGCTTTAAAATGTTTCATTTGGTAATTTTTTGTGATGTAACTTGATTTTGGTATTATGCACTATGCATATTACCGTAAATACTGTAATAGTACCCCACCGCCCTCGTACATTCGCGTAGTCGCAAAAGTTTTTTCGTATTTCATTTTTTTCAAAACGCCCGTACTTTCAAAAAATGCGTCTTTGGTATCAAAAAATAGCTGAAATTCAGGCCTATTTTTTGATGCCTAAGCGCGCATTGTAGCATAAACCAATGTCGAGAAAAACTCGTTCAATGCTAGACTACGCAGCACACCGCACCGTCATTATGGGGGTGGGGTACTATTACAGTATTTACGGTATGTAATTTGATTGTCTTGATAATTGTCTTGAGAATGCTAATCTTTGTGTTAACCTCCCTTTTAGAGGGTTGCAACAATTCGGTTCCACTTCCAACCCTTTGCCCACCCTCATCATCCTCATAAATGAGTTTGGAAAAAGGGAGAAAAGTTGAGCAATAAATTTTTAGTAATTTCGAGGTATCGCAAGCAGTGACTGATGCGAAACGATTGAAAGAAGAAAATGGATACACACTTGTTACAGGTTTGGGTAAAAAAAGCATATACCTTGGTTTAATTTGATAGAAATCTATATTCTATGAACTGGATCAATGGGACTTTAGATGAATAATTGAGTTTTAATATCACCAATAAAAACTACTGTAAAAGTGAGAATCTAACTAAAATTGCTATACAGAGTGGCTTAAAAAGCTCTGTCCGCATTAGTAGATTTGTCTCTGTAAACTAAAGTGTCTTAAATTTTGTCTTAGTTACACAATTTTTGACTTTACACCAACCATATAAATGTGAAAATATGAATATATAAAAAGTATGGTTACAAAAACTTTTTTAGCATTATTTTCTGTGAGCTCATATCGTTTTTCAGTTTAGTCGCGTGTCAATTTTCTAAAATTTCGTTCTCTAAACCAGTTTTGCTTTCCTTAAAAGCAAATTTTGATAATCTATCTGAAAGAAGTGTCATTTTTTCTTTAAAACTATACTTTCCATAGTCAGATTGCTTTTGAAATTATCGATTTTGTGAGCCTCAAACATTGTTAGTCGAGCTTAAAAATCACGGGAGTTTAAAGGAGTTGCGCAAGATTCGATTGATAAAAAAAACATTAAAAATGCACTTCAAAAAAGAAATTCCTCTCTAAAACAAACGGTAAAAATAGTCGAATTTTCTAAATTTGAATTTCATTTTGCTCTATTTCGACAGAGTTTTATTATAAAAACACGTCTATTAATGCGTCTATTCATATCTATTAATGCGTCTATTCATGTCTATTAATGCCGTCTATTCATGTTTATTAATGCCGTCTATTCATATCTATTAATGCGTCTATTCATGTCTATTAATGCCTATTAATGCCGTCTATTCATGTCTATTAATGCCGTCTATTCATGTCTATTAATGCCCTCTATTCATGTCTATTAATGCCGTCTATTAATGCAAACAGAGCTTTTCAGTCACCCTGTAGACTACTACTAAAATTTTCTGCTTAAATGCTTAAATAAACTACTAATAAAATGAAGACTGAAGCCTATTCTGCTTAAAAAAATCCTTTTTAGTCAGTATTGGTCGCAACTTCGACATGAGCTCGATCTCCTCTGGTTCACAATTTGAATTCTCCATGCCAGATTTCAGTCCGGCGACAATGCTTCGTTTAGCCCAAGAGATTGTCGATTCACTGGTCAGAAAATTTACAATTCAATTGAATTTGTATTTTAGACAGTTCCTTGTGCATCAGGCTCAACGATGGCATCAAGTAAATTGACCTTTGCTAGAATGGTTGTAATTTTGAGATTTAGGCTTATCAACAGGAAATTTTGTCGAAACTACACTAGGAAATGTACATGAATACTTCTGACATTTGAAATTTAAACCTCAGGTATCGACCAGCGAAAATCCAAGTACAACAACAATTGCATCAACCCCGAGTGCTCCCATAAATTCATCAACGTCTACAACTGTGAGTTTTTCGAGCGTATTAAGTATTTAGTAAGTTTTAGTTTTCGGGCTCGACAACCACAACAACACCTCAACCGACAGGGTAAAATATTATAAATGCTAATACAAGAGCAAGTGATTGAAGGCAGTCTAGGTCAAGCCTATATCTATGAGAAAACTTCATCTTCAGCTATTCTCCATCGAAAGGCTCAACAGCTGAGAATACAGCTACAGTAACACCATCAACAAGTGCAGAAACGACAACAACGATTACTGTAACCACTTCACCGACCACCACAACCCCAATCCAACGAAGTATAGCCATCGTTTGGGATGTGTCGTTTAATGGAGGGAATAACAGAACGGAAGAGGTGAAGATAATCTAAAAAGTATAGAAATGATCTGAAATAGAGAATGAACCTAACCAATCACCTCTTTTCAGGCAATTTTCACTTTTGTGAACGCGTTCTTGTTGAGGAATTCTTGGTGGACCGGGTTGTCTTATTCGGTTATTCCATTCCCCGATACACTCAAATACCAATCACAAAATTATGATACTCAATTTAAGTGAGTTTGAAAAGAAAAATTTACACTATCCTAGTAAAGCCTTTATTTGGCTCTGCTAAATTTCGGAAATTTCGTTTCGGGAAACGTTCTTTTCGGAAAAAATTCATTTAGAAAATAATTTCTAGCATTAATGGTAGCACGAGTTACTACAATAGCTTGCAACTTTAAGGCAAGGTTACGTTGATCTGGAGTGGTCGGGTTGAGACTAGGAGTTCGTTGCACAATTTCCGAGTTTCGAGCATTGTTTCGAGCCGAGTTAAGCATTTGAAAACATCACTAACAAGGGAATGTTGTTAACTGATCGCGGCTTTTGACTCGGGAAATAGCCTATCTAATGTAGTTTTTCATGATGATTCCGAATCTGAAATCAGTTTTTGCCAAACGCTTCTATATTGCGAGATATTTGGCATACAAGTTTTTGGGGTCTATTTATGAGGGCGACGCACTGTCTTCAGTCAACGGCCTCGGTGCACCGAATTTTCACGAATTCACTTTTATTGGAAGAAGATAATGATCCAAATTGGGAACCACATTTACAGTTAGATAACGCCGAAGATTTTCAAGAACATTCATATCACCTTCTCTGATACTCAGTTTCCAATAGACAAAATCAAAGAATGTCTTGAATCCTATCGTTCACTCTCGATTTTTAGTAATTTCAAAACACTCTCGAATTCCCGAAATGAAGGTTTCACGAAATGAAAATTCCCGAAACGAAATCCCCGAAACGAAATTCCCAAAATTTAGTAAAGCCCTTTATTTGAATCAATTGTCCTTTAGATCCTCAGTTCGTGATGTGGCAAGCTTGATGAGTCGAGAAAGGGGAGCACCTCCAACACCGAATAATGTATCCGATATTAATAGGTAATTTGAACTTTGAACAAGAACTATCCAATCTTTATGCTCTCTATTCATTTAGTGCTCTTGTCCTTCTCGAATATCAACCAACCGTCATTCGACCCACAATTTTACTCTTCTCAAGCAGTGATTCCCTAGTTTCGGATGCTCAATCAACAGCTGCAACTTTGAGAAATACATATGGATATGATATATTTGCAGGTTGAATTTTTTAAGTAACTATCATACTCTGCTTTTAGTCGGAGTCGGCTCTCAACTCGATTTTGGATCAATTCCCTCAAGTCCCTCAAATGTTTTCACAATGGATTCCCATTTGGATCCAAATACTTATCCATTGTTGGTCGATCAGATAACTGATGCGATGAATCGAGTGGATACAACCACAACAGCAGCGACAACACCCACGCCCACAACTGCTTGTCCACCGGGTATTTTGTGACGACTTTCCATTATGCATAGCTATTCAGGAACTCCAATCCAGCGAAGTGTGGCTATTGTTTGGGATGTTTCTTTCAATGGAAATAACAATCGAACTGAAGAGGTTTGCTTACAATCAAAGATAATCTTGAGTACAATAAAACTAACTCTATGTTCGATCATCACTTAATTCCAGGCCATTTTCACCTTTATCAACTCATTCCTTTTACGGTCAAACCCCGAATGGACAAATGTCGTTTTCTCTGTCATTCCATTCCCCGATCCTCTCGCCTATACACAAACAAATATCGATTATGCGTTCAAGTAGGTGATTTGTAACAAGTAATCCCTTACAAAGTAAGCCAAACCATATATAGATACTTTATTCAAGAAATGTTGTAAAGTGAGGAAGTTTTTTCAAGACAGAGAGGTAGTAACACCTTAAAAAACATAGAAATTAATGGCGAACAAAGAATACAGAATCAATGAAATCCAATCAATTACCCACAAGAGAGGAGAGTTCTAGTTTATCTACTGATTTTTTTTTTTTAAAGGACTCAAGGCTGCGACATGCTCTTAAGTTGTTCGGTAGTAAATTTCACAATCTCACAGCTCTGATCGGAAAAGACTTAGACATAAAGTTATTTGAGAGAATCGGAATTCTCAAGAGAAATGAACCTATTTTTGAATCGACCATTAGGTTGAGTTTTGGAAAAAAATTACAAAAAAGAAGACTAGAATGTTTGCATTTAACGATTTTGAAGCATTCAACTAAATCCGTGACCGGGCGGCGGTGCCTAAGAGTTTTAAGCTCGAAAAGATTGAGTCTATCCATGTAAACCATGTTTGCAAATCTAGGAAAGTCAATTTTTCAAAAGGCCATGCTAGTGATTCTTTGTTGGAGTTTTTTCCCAGCGCAAAATCTCCACTTGAGTATGTGGGGAACAGACTGTAGATGTAAATTCTAGGATAGGTCTTAAGAAAGAGATAAAGCATCTACGGTAAGTTTCAATTCTAGGAAAGCAAATCGTCTTAAGGATACGGCTTCTAGCAAAAGATTCCTTGCGGCTTGCAAAAGATATGTTAGAATTTAGATCAACTCTCCGAAACGTGTTAACGTTAATGGGAGCGGAAAGAAGTCGACCACCACCGCCAAATAACATCTCTGACATTAATAGGTTACAAAATAGTTTCCACAGTATTAGACGTTACATGAATAAAATAATAATAACACTTTTTAGTGGTTTAACGCTACTCGAGTCTCGGCCAAGCGTTCCGTTACCGACGGTGCTTCTTTTTGCAAGCAGGTTAGCTTCAAGGGCTAAATGTGATAGTAAACTTATTGATTCGATTTGAATAAGTATTGAATTGAATCGAAAAAATAGAGTTACATTAATACTACATATCTTTCACTCATGTAAACTATGCGACAGCCCAAATTGGCTAGCAGTTAACCCCCGGCGTTTAGCCCAGGATCAACTACTGGTACCTGTAAAGGTAACATTTTAGTGATGACTTGGTCAATGATGCCGAGTCAAGTGCAAACAGTCTGAAGAATGATTTTGGATATGAGATTTTTGCCGGTAAGCTTGACTCTAAGCCAGGGTTTATTCAATGATTCCAGTGGGTGTCGGTGCTCAACTCAATTTTGGAACAATTCCATCAAATCCTTCAAATGTTTTCACAATGGATTCTCATTTGGATCCAAGCACTTATCCCGATTTAGCTAAAACAATTACAAAGGCTATGATTTCGTGTATTGATGTGACAGCTACGACAAGTGTCACAACAATCATGGCTGAGACAATCACAACAACACCTCAACCGACAGGGTAAAATATTATAAATGCTGATGCTAGAGCAAGTAATTTAAGACAGTCTAGGTCAAGCCTAAAACAAAATATCTATGAGAAAACTTCATCTTCAGCTATTCTCCATCGGAAGGCTCAACAGCTGAGAATACAGCTACAGTAACCCCATCAGCAACGGTAATTACTGTAACCACTTCACCGACCACCACAACTCCAATCCAACGAAGTATAGCCATCGTTTGGGATGTGTCGTTTAATGGAGGGAATAACAGAACGGAAGAGGTGAAGATAATCTAAAAAGTATAGAAATGATCTGAAATAAGGAACGAACTTAACCAATCACCTCTTTTCAGGCAATTTTCACTTTTGTGAACGCGTTCTTGTTGAGGAATTCTTGGTGGACCGGATTGTCTTATTCGGTTATTCCATTCCCCGATACACTCAAATACCAATCACAAGATCTTGATTATCAATTTAAGTGAGTTGGAAAAGAAAAATTTACACCATCCTAGTAAAGACTTTATTTGAATCAGCTGTCCTTTAGATCCTCAGCTCGTGATGTGGCAAGCTTGATGAGTCGAGAAAGGGGAGCACCTCCACCACCGAATAATGTATCCGATATTAATAGGTAATTTGAACTTTGAACAAGAACTATCCAATCTTTATCCTTCTATTCATTTAGTGCTCTTGTCCTTCTCGAATATCAACCAACCGTCATTCGACCGACGATTTTACTCTTCTCAAGCAGTGATTCCCTAGTTTCAGATGCTCAATCAACAGCTGCAACTTTGAGAAATACATATGGATATGATATATTTGCAGGTTGAATTTTTTAAGTAACTACCATACTCTGTTTTTAGTCGGAGTCGGCTCTCAACTCGATTTTGGGTCAATTCCCTCAAGTCCCACAAATGTTTTCACAATGGATTCCCATTTGGATCCAAATACTTATCCATCGTTGGTCGATCAGATAACTGATGCGATGAATCGAGTGGATACAATCACAACAACAGTGACAACACCCACGCCCACAACTGCTTGTCCACCGGGTATTTGCTTGAAGCCGTATCCATAAGGCGATTTGCTTTCCTAGAATGGAAACTTACCGTAGATGCTTTGTCTCTTTTGCAAGATCTATCCTAGAATATACATCTATAGCCTGGTCCCCACATACTCAAGTGGATATTTTGCGCTTGGAAAAAATCCATCGCTTGAAAACAAGTTAAACTTTGATTCATCACTCCATGAAACGCGACCCCAATCCGCCACCGACCAGTTCTGATGTTTCCTCGCAAATTCGAGACGAGCTCTAAGATTCTTCTTTGAAATCAGCGGTTTTCATGAAGGGCGTGCTCCTTTAAGTTCCTTAGATCTAAAATTTTGATGGAAATGTATCATTACATCAAAATAAACCTCAGAATTCGTTGAGCTGTACTCTTAGAGATGGTGAGCCCATGGTATTGGTGAGCCTCTCGACGAAGATCGCTTGACGTCTTTCTCGGATCTTTCTTCACTGATCGAACCAAAGCAGTGGCAGTTCTTAGGGAAACTTTTGGTCGTGGTCCTTCACCAATTTTTCGTTCTATCGATCCTGTTTCTTTCCATTTGCGGTAGACCTTTGCAGCCGCCGAAAACGTGATGCCAAACATCTCTGCAGCATCCCTAGACGACATTCCTTGACTCATATTGGCTACCAAACGTTCCGTCAAGTCGTTAGAGAAGATTTTCTTTGATGGCATCTAAAGAAAACCATGTATTCAACAAGTGTGTCCAAAGTTATGACCCCCCAGAAAGTGGGTGTCTCGGGTAAAGTAGCTCAAAAATACATGAGAATGAAAATAAAAGCCAAGTTCATGCAGAAGTAATGAAAAAGATAAAAACTGTATAAAATAGTCGATTTCGGTAGAAAAACCTCTTAGTAGCAAAAAGAACGAACAAATTATAGTTTAACGCACGAGGTATGTCCAAAGTTATGACCCCTACTGTAGGAACGCACACATTTCTGATCAACCTTGTAGAATGCAGCGGCTGCTTTGATCAAAATCGGTTAGCTGCTTGCCCATCATTGCAACAGCCAATTTCGTTTTCACATCAATGGCCTTTTTCTTTTTCTTTGTAGGTGGCTCATCCGATTCACTTGAAGATCCTTCAGCTTCAGCGTTGACCCAGTTCCCATTGGCATCTTGTTTGGCTCGTTCATCACGCGATTCTTTGAGGAATTCCATGTCGTATTGGTTATGTCCTACGTATTCGCGGCAAGCGCGATATTTCTCAAATCCATATCTAAAAAAATAAAATTAGCGAGCAAACGAGAAAAATTCAAAAGCAACAAATTTATGGAATAAAATTAAAAACAAACGATTTCCGAAACTACATGAAAATTTTCCGCTTTAAAAGCGTTGTTTGTAATTATGCACTAGGTGAGGTACTATTAGAGGTATGGGGCTAATTACAGTATTTACAATAACTATTCAGGAACTCCAATCCAGCGAAGCGTGGCTATTGTTTGGGATGTTTCTTTCAATGGGAATAACAATCGAACTGAAGAGGTTTGAGGCGTTAACTTACTAACAATCAACGACTGGTAAACGTTCCAAGGCTATCAGCAACTAAATATAAAAATCTTCTGGTGACTTTTTTAAAAGTCAATAAAAGTCAATGTCCATTTCCAATTCCAGGCCATTTTCACCTTTATCAACTCATTCCTTTTACGTTCAAACCCTGAATGGGCCAATGTCGTTTTCTCTGTCATTCCATTCCCCGATCCTCTCGCCTATACACAAACAAATATCGATTATGCGTTCAAGTAGGTGATTTGTAACAAGTAATCCCTTACAAAGTAAGCCAACCCA